CCTGGTTTTCTGTGAGCCGCCCTGAGTCCCCTCAGGGAAAAGGGCGGCCTACAAATGCAAATAAAACCAAACTAAAACCAAACCAAACAGCACAAAACTGTGCCGCCTAACCTAACTCCTCAAGATGGCCCAAAAGGACACCATGGTCAAAGGTATTGAAAACTGCTGAGAGGAAAGGAGAGCAAGGATAGAAGCACTGCCACCATCTTGCTCCCATCAGACATCATCCATGAGTGTGACCAATGCAGTTTCAGGTCTGTTTCTGGGCCTGAAACATGACTGAAAAAGATCCAGATAATTTGTTTCCTCCAGGATCCTCCACAGTTGCAATGCCATCACTTTCTTGATCACTTTTCCTAAAAGACTCATCCACATGATACATTTTGATATTTTTAAATCCTTAATCTATCTAATTACATGTGGAAAAGGTAAAGTATATCTTACATATATTTAATAGTAACTGTGAATCAAGGAGAACATCCAAGTTATACAATATTCTGCTTAGGACAGTCACCCCATCCAAAGGAAACACAGGAACTAATTGACAATCTTGATGAATAAATGCAAACTCCATCTTATTTGACTTTAGGCTCATCCTGTTTCTTCCCATCCAAGTCGCAAGTTTTTAATTAGTCTACAGTTCTGATGCCTCCTCAGCAGTGGTGGGTTTCAATTTATTTTACTACCGGTTTGCTCATGCGCTTGTGCGCGATGCTTCTGTGCAGAAGCATCCGGGCGGGTAGATGGAGCCTCCCGCCGCCGCCACTACCAGTTCTCCCTCTGCTCCTCAGCTACCAAGTCCAATCCTGTTTAACTTTTTGTTCTTAGCTGAGGTCACCTGCCTGCTGCCAACTACGGTACTCTTATTCTTTTGATGCTGATAAGTAATGACAATATAAACATAGATATATATTTATTATTTGTAGATAAACTATCCATTTTATTACATTTCTTGTATGGGATTTTCTCAAGAGATAGTTTACATTGAAAATTATTACTGAAACAAATATACTTCCATACCTCTTCATCTTGGCATCCTAGTTCTTCTTGTACAACTTGGTCTTCTACAGATTTCATTGTGAAAATAGAACTAATAGAATTCAGTCAGTGCTGCAGAAATAATTCAATACTGCTAAAAAGCATAAATAAGCTAATTATTTTATGAGTTTTTAATGTTTACTATATTATGCTAGCCTAGAGGGGGTTTAGTAGATTGCTCAAATACATTAACTAAGATGAATTTCATTAAAAAATAAATATACCACTCACCACTACAGTGGTCTGATATTTGAATCAGCATTGATTTCAATCTTTTCCAAGTAGAAGATTCAAAAGGAGAAAAAGATTACCAAACTTTTTGCAACATAATTTGTGAAATTTTTTTAAAAAACCTTCTTTCACTTTCAGTTCACTGTAATTATGAATGTTGATAATAGATTAAGACAGTCCTCAAACACTATATATTTAGTATATGTTTTAACTTTAATATTTACAGGAGGCAATCTAACTTAGCTAGAAAGCAAGGTAACATAGTCTGGCCAATTAAAGACTAAAACCCATGGGCCATTGTACTGTTTGCAAGATAAAGTCCCAATTAACAATAGCAGTAACAATAAAAGCAGAATATACCAATGTAATAAAATTAATATGTTTACAGTTAATTTTATTATGGTGCATTGTATAACTTATCTAATCATCTTCAAATTACACTCCTGTATTATAATTGTGTGTGTG